CTGAAAAATTTCCAAGTACTAAGCTGTGAGTGACTAACCTGTGGCACAGGTGCCCTGGCACAGCAACAGCATGTCATTACACATCTAGATACAGGAGCGGCCAGTGTGGTATGGTGGCACTGGCCTCCTGGCAGTGGAACTGCTGCCCCTTGGACAAGGTGGTAGCGGGCCCAGGCAACAGTGAGGTCCAGATGATGCAGATGGTCTAGTGGAGCTAATCTGATGCTCTCACAGTGCACCCAAGATGCCCCAAGTTATAACTAAACAAAAAGCATTCCACAATGGCCTGTTTTTGTTAACAGCTTATCTAAGTTACCCCACTGGGCAAAATTTTCTTCAGACAACTGTGACAACATCTTGGATACTGATCATATTCTTTTTGGTAAAAAATTGAAGGCAGGTAATACACTTCAGCTCCCCTCCCCTTCAAATATTTTGAAGCATCTTAAAAATATTTCTTTTTGTGATACTGAAATCGTGTTCTGCGTATACGCTATATCTTTAATGCACACTCACAGCATAGTTCCTCCCGCTCAAAGAATTCTGGGCACTGTAGTTTGTTAAGGGTTGCTGGGATAGCCCTAGAATCCACTGCTACTGGCATGTTCCAAGGTTGCAATGACAATACCATTACATTACACATAAAAGGATTAAGGTAAAGGTACCCCTGCCCGTACAGGCCAGTCGTGTCCGACTCTAGGGTTGTGCGCCCATCTCACTCTAGAGGCCGGGAGCCAGCGCTGTCCGCAGACACTTCCGGGTCACGTGGCCAGCGTGACAAGCTGCATCTGACGAGCCAGAGCCGCACACGGAAACGCCGTTTACCTTCCCGCTAGTAAGCGGTCCCTATTTATCTACTTGCACCCGGGGGTGCTTTCGAACTGCTAGGTTGGCAGGCGCTGGGACCGAACGACGGGAGCTCACCCCGCCGCGGGGATTCGAACCGCCGACCTTTTGATCGGCAAGCCCTAGGCGCTGAGGCTTTTACCCACAGCGCCACCCACGTCCCATAAAAGGATTAGTAAATATTTTTTAAATGGGTAGGTCTTGCTCAGTTCAAACCAAAGGTAGCATAACTTTTCAATTAAACCAGTTTTAGAGTCTCAGAGCCTCTGAGCAGCAGCAGATGGTCTAAACCAGCCTTTGCCTCAAAACGGTTTTAACTGCAGCTCCCAGTGCTGGCTAGGGCTGATGGGAGTTGTGGTCCAAAACATCTGGAAGGCCTCTGGTTGGCAAAGGCTGATCTAGTAAAAGGTACCTATTTTTGTGTTTCTTTCTCATAGACTGATATGATTTCCTTTTAACAAGAAGGTTGATTTTGGAACTCTCCCATCTGTTTTGGCCGCAGTTTAATTCAATACCTCAATATGATACATCAGAACGACAGTTCCCGCACTCTTCCCAGCCTTCTCTGAGAATGATCAAATATACCCAATTTCTCACTGAGTTTTGATACTTTCATGCTGACAAGGCAGTTTTTTAAAAAAGTATATTTTGGAATCAAGAAAGAGCTTCTGAATTCAAAACAGAATTACAGGCTAATTGGTCCAATATGCCCCTGAATCCTTTTGGCAGGAGTCTGTCACTTAATTCTCTCTGTCAGACAGTAATTTCATATATGTGGTTTACATTGTAACATTCAAAGAGAAGGAAATTATTTTACAAATGCACTTTGACAATTGTTATGTTAACTAACTGACCACAGGGCCAGAGCATTAAGGAACCCAGAATTCCTAGACACTTACTCCCTGTATTTCATTCAGATAATTATTTCCATTGTGCTAGGTATTTTGAGTTCAGAAGCAACTTACGATGCTGCATGAACAATAAAATATAAAGTTATAAATAATGAGATACGATAATCTAAGCCAGGATCCAGGCATCCAAAAATACTTCCACATGGAATGGCCCTGAGGTAGAGATGCAAAGGGATTCAAACCAGTTTGCATTTAAAGTAAAATCTATCAAATATGCAGATTCTGAAACAACATGAGAAGCGGAACGCACCCATACTTTGGAATTCACACTTTTCTGAATTTTGCGATGCAGTTTTCCAGCCAACCAAAGTTTATAAAAATATGTATATTGGGAGAAGGTGTGCATAAAAGCGAGTATTGGTGAAAATAACATACAAAGATCACATTATATTAGAAGAAATTACTTGCAAAAAATGTGCACTTTACTCAAAACAACATAGAAAATGTTTTTACAGGTGAAATCCACAGTATTTTCATGAGGATTTTATTGCGAAACATTTGCAAATTGCTGAAGTAATGTGGAGACTGGAAAAAAGAAACAGAAAAATTGACAGGTCTTTCCATCCCTACTCTGGTGCCACAGCTCCATAGAATAAGTTATTAAGAGTTGGGTGCTCTGTGTTAGAGATGGGGAACCTCTTGGACTCCAACTCCCACCAACCCCAGCTAACAGGGGCAACAGTCAGGGATGATGTAGTCCAGCAACATCTGGAGGGCGATAGGTCCCTGCTCTGTGTCAACCCTCAAATGTGCAGAAGCCACACTTGTCCTTCCCCCCTTTTTTGAGGAGAAATTGAGAAAGCAGAAAAAAGCATGGAGCACCCAGTTCATATATTACTTCCTTCACATGGCTGGTCCAGCATTGTCCCTTCCCAGGGAACTTGTGATGATATACACAACACTTCTTTCAACTAAAAAAATATCAAAATCACAGTACTGAAAACGTTTGCTATATGCACTGGTATGTGTGGATATGCAATCAATTGGGCGCTCACAGAATTTGGGGATTTATCTAAGAAACCCTATTTGTAATTCAATTTGTAATTGAAGGCTGAGGCATCACAAATTGTGTCATGTGAAGGATGTATTTTTTTGGAGAAATGAAATGTAAGAAAAGGTATTTGTTTGATCGTTCCCAGTTGAACATTCACAAAATCTTATGTAGTTCTTGAGGCAAAAGCTTTCAATAAAGATGGACCCCTCTCTAATGATCCACTGTGCAGAATACATTACAGCAAGGCAACGGAAACTTGCAAGGATTTATCCTGGTGACTGATTCTTTGGCAACTCTTGGGATTAACATACTAAATTAGGAATCCAAAAACAAGTCAATCATGGATTAAAGTCGTGGAAGGGGCAACCCTTGAGCAATTCAGATGTAATTTTCCTTACACAACAGGGGGTTGAAATATAGAATAAACTGTCACCAGCAGCAATAGAAATTAGAGGTTGTTAAGACGGCTGAAGAGACATCTGGATACATTTTCAAAGAGAGGCCAAAAAATGTGTATCAGAGTTGACTACCACTTGGACGTCTTTGGATTACAATGACATTCAATTGCATAAACCACATTTCATAGCAAGATTTCCCTTTCTTCCTGAAAACAGAAGTAATAACTTGACAAGTCATTTAAATGATCTAACTTAGGCTCTTCATCATGGAGCATGATTTCCCCCTGAATCTACATGCTTCACAAACTGAGGCCTAGATTGTGCAGAAGCTTTTTTCTCTGGCTTACTCTAAGCCAGTGTTTCCCAAACTTGGGTCTCCAGCTGGTTTTGGACTACAACTCCCATCATCCCTACCTAGCAGGGCCAGTGGTCAGAGGTGATGGGAACTGTAGTTCAAAAGCAGCGGAGACCCAAGTTTGGGAAACACTGGCTTAGAGTAACGCGTGAACAAGACCTTTGCCTCACCAAAGCAATGCATTCAATGAATGCCAGAATAAATGAAACCTGACAAAAAGGGAACATCCCTCAGTTCTGTTTCTGTTCCTGACTTGTTAATTATATAGAGCTTGCAGTCCGGAGCCATTAAAATCAGTGAGCATTTTACTATTGATTTCGAACAGGATATGCATTGCTTCCAGAGCTCCCCTCTCAAGGGAAAGAGTTTTCCTTCTAATGCTACAGGGATTTATATGACATCTGCAAAGTCACCAGAATCAAGGAACAATGTTTTACGTGTATCAACAGCTAGTAAACAGTCAGTAAATTAATAAAAGCAGAGCCTAACATAATAACCAAAAAGGACAATGGAAACTTTAAAACACAGTTGAAAATGCGTACTGTAAACTCTAAAAATGCAGTTCTAGTGAAAAGTTATTATGAGCTGCTACCAGTTTGCATTCTATAGAAAGCATTTACATTTTTTGATGGGTTGAGAAATAAGTTGAAATATGACCCTGGAGATCTCAGGAGGGGGAGGGGGCAGAGGGCATTGGTTTTTTTTGTCAGACATTTCCTCATTGTTTACTTAACCCAAACTTGTTCCCTTTCTAAAAGTAGCCCTCTGCAACTTTTCAGTCTGGCTATCCTCAAGCTTCATCATTTAGAACAATCTCCTCCTTTACTAAGAGGAACAAAAAAAAAAGGCAGGATGGTGACCTCAAAAATGGAATTCCAGTGTGGTTCAGTTACATGGTGCTGATTAGAACTATTCTTCAAGAAACCTCATTAAAACTCCATTGAAGTAAAGCAGAAGAGTGAGGGATGGTTCACCTGTGGCCCAGGTAAGTAGGTTGTCTACATGGTAGAGCAAACCTCAGGTTCATACGTCTCCTCCTCTTCACATCCTGCCAATTTTATGCTTGCATCATTGTTTAACTTTGAAATATAGCAGTACAAAAATATATTTAGATTGTAAATAATAATTATATAATCAAAGTGGATGTTTTTTGTGTTTACATGATACTTGATTCAAACCTTTATATGGATATTTAGTTGTGAATTGTATTTTGGAGTTTCATCTTTTCTGTGCCTCACTTTGGAACTTCCTTCGGCTGTGGGACGCGATGAATGTACGCAAGGTTATGTGAACAGGGCATCTGCTCATACCTGAGCCTTGTGGGGACAGGCTCACACAAGCAGCTTACTACACATAGGTGGTTAATTTATAATCTATGAAAGGTACAGGTAACTATATATGAGGTACATCACATAATGTTTAACAGTAATTTCCAGGTTACTATAATCAAATAACAGGGCAGGTGGGAGAAGATGAATACTCCTGGTTGTACTCACCTCTATAATATACAGCACCACGTTCTTATAAAAGCAGTACAATATGCATTTTGTTACTCGATTGTAACTCCAGGCTCCGTGGACAAGTAACAGCTTCTCCAAGTAGGAAAACTGGAGAAAGAAAAATGGCCAACAATGAAACTACACTGTAGAGAGATGCAAGGTAGAGTCTACACATAAGGTGAAAGCCATTGAAATTATCTATTGCTAGACCAGCCTTTGTTACACATTATCCAGTTCTGCACAAGTCTTACGTGGTGGGAGATACACAATGCAAGCCTGCATTTATGGTGAATCCATGCAACTCACTTTCCATCGCTGTATGACTTCCAATAAGTCTTTGGATTAGTCAGAGAGGGCTGTGTGCCCAGAATTAAAGCATCACTGGTGCAAACCTATATATGTTTACTCAGAAGTTTGTCCTATGGTGTTCAATAGGCTTTATTGCCAGGCAAGTGTGTATAGGATGACAACCCCAGTCACCGTGGCCTATGAGACTTGGTAGACCAAGAAAAAGAGGGCAGTGCCAGATACTAAAGAAAAAGAGGCAAGTCTCAAAACGGTACTGAAAAATGTAGGGAGCTTTAATAAAATACTAATGAGATCCCCAGAGAGATGTTGTTTTACTAGAATAACTCAAAAAATTGAATTCTTGTGCCTCTGAGGATTGTTTCCACTGAAGCACATTGGGCAAATTACTTTTTTGTTGATGTTCCCTACATTTTTCAGAACCATTTTGAATTTTACTTCTTTCTTTGCTTTATGAAAATTGGCTACCAGCTTTATCACAATATCTTCCAAGAATCTCAGGTTGGTATACAGCATCTCCCCCCTCCAAATAGCCCTCAAAACATCCCTTAATATGGGTTAACTTATCATGACTTTCCCAGGGCAACTGAGAATGATTGATGGGTGAGCAGGGTTTTGAACCCAGCTTCCCCAATGCAAATCAAGCACACTAACTCAGCCTCTGTGGTGACCTCCAGATGTTTTGGACGTCAGTTCCCGTCTGATGGGAGTTTTAGTCCAAAATGTCTTTAGGGCACCAGCTTGGTGAAGGCTACTCTTATCGACTACACTACTTTGGCTCTCAAGGCACTTTCTTCAGTCTATAGCAAAAATGTAGGAACAAAAACTCTTCTGAAGCCTCAGGTATTCTACAATTGATCTTTTAACATGTTGGAGAGTCTAGTATCAAGACTGGAGAACACACACACAAGCCTGGACTCTGGTGGAACTGAGAGAATGTGAGATCCAAAATGGGGAAGGGGCAAGGATTTCTATTTCCCACAAAATGCATATGGTGCAGATTTCATTTGTTTTTGATGGTCTCTAAATACTCATCAGAAAGCAATCCCTCATCCAGCTCCTGTCACCCCCCTGTTGTGATATCATGGCAGTAATGCTCCATTTGCATGTTGAATATACATACATATTTGCTTTCTCATATAGGCATGAGTGAAATGCATATGTTAGGGATGGGAGAGAAATCTGTACTCCTCAAACCAGTACATGAACCAAACCATAGCTATGGGAAAGGAGGGTGGATCAGTGGTAGAGCATCAACTTTGAATTCAGCAGGTCCCAGGTTCAATCCTTGGCAACTCCATGTAGGGCTGTGAACCCTTTTGAAACCCTGGGGAGCCACCGTCGTTCAAGGTGGACAGGACCAGTGGTCTGACTTGGGATAAAGCATCTTCAAAAATTCACACTTCTCCAGTTAAAAAATTGCATACAAAACCCTGTACATTGGGGGGGGGGAGTGTGTGCACACACGCAAATCTGTATACAAGTGAAAATACCGCACGGAAATTCGTATGGGAAATTTGCTTACCAAAAAAATGCATATAAAGAACAAAATTTTATACAAAAGCAAGCTCATTAGGGGAGGAATTTTCATGCAGACTTCTAAAAGAAAAACTGCACAGAAATGAGGCAAACGAAACTTCCAAGACTGGGAAAATGAGAAAAAATGAAATTGACAGACTTGTCCATCCCTAGTGTGCGCGCATGAAAGGGTAGCGTGGGATTGAGCCCTGAATCAGACCGGTGGTGCTTGTCACCTTGTAGGATCAATCACATGGCAGTTGGAACCGCAAGGTGGCGGCCAGCCAGGGCTTGCCTCAGGCATTGGAGAGACTGCCAGCACTCATTATCTCAATGAAATGAAGGATGTGAAATGGAGGGAAAGCAATATAATCCAGTCTTCTTCAGGAAACATGAGGCCAATATTCATTTAATAAGGTTCTCTATTAGCGGTTGAATCACTGAAGTGATCCCTTCTTGAGGATAATAGATTCCTCTTTTGGATAACAATAAAATCTGCATCCAATTTCTGCACTGCCTCAAGAAATTCTAGTCACTATAAACAAGCTGGTGGAGCATTTTCACAACTTGGAAGGCAAGAGATGTTTTCAAAAGATGTACTCTGTTGTTTGTGGCCTCAGGTCAAGTTTCCCTTGTATTTGTTTTGTTTTATTTATTACATTTGTCAGTCGCTTTATCTTGTCCAGGCAACGCAAAGCAAATTACAACCAAGAAATAGACAGTAAACCCCCCTACATAGATGCATTAAAACCAAGAGGAAGGGAAATACATTAAAAGCACCACACCTACAGCTGCATTTTCCATCGGCTAATTATTGAATGAGAATAAGAGTCGCCCTTCAGTGTTAAACCTCCATGTTTCCACTATAGTCGCTACTGCAGAGAACTGCAACAACAGGAAACATGATGCCAGGATTAGAGTGAAAGTGGGAAATTTCAAAAGACAAATTGACCTTGATGGGAATGCTGAATCCTGCTGTTGCAGTTCTCTGCAGTAACAACCATAGTAGAAGCATGGAGGTTTTAACAGTGAAGGGTGACTCTTATTTTCAGAGCAAGTCACTTGCACGTGGATGTGCAGGTTTGGGAAAACGGGGGGCAAGCCAGTGGCTCCTGAATATCTCCCCAAGGAATGCAGAAAAAACACATTTTAAAACAACAACTACTATCATCATCATTATTATTATATTAATATCCCACCCTTCCTCCTGAAGTCCAGGATAGCGAATACACTCCACCAACCCTTCTCCAAACCAAAATGCTGTTTAGAATGTCACAAAGAAGAAAGGCTCTCAGATCAACGAAATGATTCAGGAGCATGCCCTGGCATGCTGCTCATTTGTCTCAAGCCACAGTTAATGGGCTTACTCTGAGGTGTGAATGGGACTCCGGAGTGAGAATCACTCAGAGCTATGGTAAGCATTGACACCAGTTGGAACTATTCAATCTGGGGTTCCTGTGCTGCGTATCATCTGCTTAAAGGAAAAGAATATCTGTTTCTCTTCAGCAGATAAGGGGTGCCTCCAGGCTGTCAGTATTTTGTGGGAGTGTCTGAATAACATGCCTGAACTTTAGATTTGCGCATTTAAAGTAGATTAAAGCACTCTGTCACCCTAATGCAACAAGCCCACTTCAAAAAAGAGAAACCCAACAGGCTTTGTGCAGTTTGGAAAGTGACAGGGAGATGCATTGAAACACTTCCACCCTGCAAGGAAACCGGGTTAAATGCAGGAAGAATCCAAATTGTTATGTACCTGCCCCGCAAACAAATAAGAACAAAGGTTCAGTAAAGACTGTATATAATATTACCTCCACATAAGCTTTGTGCAGCAATTCAGAATGAATGCTCAACAAACAGGTCATCTGGAGGTGGTCAGGATATTAAAATCAATAAAGCTAAGTCTCCAAGACGATTGGCACGATAAGTATGTTTGAACACTGCAAATTTTACAGTGATACATTAAGGTATCACTTTATTCTTTTTAATAAATAGATAACCTTTTTCTACATTTTAAATTTCTGTCCTTTAAGGAAAATGCAGTCAAAGTTTAGAGAACATTTGAATCATTGATGCAACCCTCTTTCAAAAGACAAATTTCACCCATCGCTGACTGCTCTCTCCTGATCCCTATGGGCCGCAACTGAAGAACTAGAATAGAAATCATAAGCTATCCTTCATAGTTTTCTCCTGAAGTCACTGAAAAGAAAAACGAGAGCGCCATTTACTATTGCCGAACAGGAATATACTCCACCAACAGGTGTCCAAGTCAAGAGGAAGAATATATATACATATATATCATTAGCAGAGCTTCAACAGCTGTAATGACTATCTTCTCTCGACCCAATTACTGGGTCTGAAGAACAGCGGCAAGTAGAGAGAAACCTAAGCCTTTGGGAGAAGATGGCCCATGGCCCGGCACCATGGAAAGGATCCTAAGCACTTGTGAGATATCTGCTTTAAGGCTGCAGCCTCAAACGGAAAAGAGAGAGGAAAATCTGCTTGGCCTCTAGGTCAGCAATGAGGTGTTTATCCTGCTCCTGCAGCCAATGCTTATTTCAACAGGATACGACAGCTGCTCGCTTGCGGGACTCTAACCTGGGCTATCGCGTAATCGGAGGAGTTGGTCGCCTGCATGCCTTCGTTGCCGCTGATCCCCACTCCAACGTGAGCCGTCTGGATCATTCCCACGTCATTGGCACCATCCCCAATGGCCAGAGTGATGGCATTCACATGCTTCTTTACCATGTCTACTATTTCAGACTTCTGCAGAGGAGACACCCTAGGAAGGAGAAGGGAAAACACTGGTCAATTCCCCACATGCTAAGCTATATGTATGGCTTTCCAGAGGGACAGCTGTAATCTAGATTTAGACATATAAAAAAGGGCAGTAACTGGAACGTTTCCTGATCCAACACATCAAGTTTATAGAGTGCATGCCAAATCCTCCTTCCCCTCAAACGCATATAGAAATAAAGCACTGTATTCTTATTTATCTGTAAATAAGTAACATGAGCCCAGGTCACAAACGTGAATGCTTAGTAGCTTTTTAAGAATTATGAAAATGGCTTTGTATACATGAATGTAATACGCATCAGAAACATCAGAATGAAAAAAATTCGGTAACTGAAAAATGTTTATTTTTAATCACTACACAAGACTAAGTTCAAATCCCCCAGTTGCTTTCAATGAGAGGTTTCAAACTGACGGCAACACTTGGCCCACAAAACTAATGTAGGGTGAACATTATGTTGTGTGTTAATTCTCACATAATTTTGGTTCTTATCCTGGATTTTTAACTGCAATTATCCCATCACTTTTTATTTTAAAAATAAAAAAAAAGTCTGATAAGAAAAGTGACAGAAATTTCCAGTGGAAAGTGTGGGGCAGCAAACACTAGCTGTCAATTTTATCTAACCTCCACACAAAAGTATCAGCATCGATGCTCAATAATCAGCCGGTCTGAAAGTTCCCTTCACTGCATTCTCTGCTCTGCATCTCAGCAGGTGTTTCAGGAACTCCTGCCAACAACTACGTTTCAAAGTGTATGTTTTCAGTAGTATAACCCACATGGGTGCCCTATTGAAAAGCAAAAGTAGTAACTTCTTGAGCAGGAAGACGGCAATATGAGGAGTTTTGATGCAACACAAACTGTGGTCCTCTGGATATTGCTGGACTACAATTCCCATTATTGCTGACCATGGGTCATGATAGCTGGGTCTGGTGGAATTTGAAAGTCCAATAACTTCGGGGGGGGGGGGGGAGGCGGCTCATGTTCCCCTGTATGCTAAAGTATTCACTCAACAACTTATTGTTCAGGTCATTATGTAATCAAGGTAACCTCCTTCCCATGTAAACCTCAATCATCTCAAAGTTATGAATCTGCATGGTTTCCTCCCTAGGAAGCCACAGTTTTTCAGAGTACTCTGGATACACATTTAATTAACCGGAAAGTTATACAAATAGCCTTAAAGCACTTACTTTTGTCTTTCAAAAGGCTTTCATGCAGAAGATAAGACTAGGGGTCAGGGAGATTTGCCCAGCCATTTCTTTTTTAAAAACACGTTTTATTCTTAATATTGTTTGTGTGTGGAATTCACACTGGGTAGCTTATTAAGCCCTCATGCTGAAATATTATAAAATGATTTGGCTCAGTTTTACTGAAAAACAAGGTAAAATTATAAACTTTGTTACTAATAATTTCACAGAGCTGTTAAATTTATAAAACGAGATCAAGGCAACGCTGAAGCTCATTAGTGTTAAAGTCTAACATTTATGTGTTGCTCATGACATAAGATGCTGCCAAAACTATGGTCTAGCTTCATCCCTCTTTGCAGCCGTTAAAGTGAAAACTCCAGACAGAGTTTGAGCCAACAGGCATGCATATGTGGAGTAAATCAGTTAGGAGTCCTAGGTGTTCTGTGAGCCAGGAGAAGAGCCAGCTACCTTTTACCCACATCAGTGGTGACAATTCACAATGAAACGCATCTTCCACCACTCGTTTTGCTTGCCAAATCAGCTTCTCATAGGTTTGAGATCTTAATCATTTTTGCATTTGACTATCTTCAAGTCATATTTCAGCATGAAGAAGAAGAAAGCAAAATAAATCCCATTTACTAAAAGAAATAGTTTTAACAGGGATGGTCAATTTCCCCCCCCCCCTTGAGATTTCAGCTTGGAAAGTTTTACTATCAGGTATTCAGAACTACTGGGGATGGAGGCAGAATCAAAGTAAACTAATCTACAGTAGGAATGGGAAACCTGAGGCTCTCCAGATGTGGTTGGAGTCCACCTCCCATCAATCCCAGCCAGCACAGCCAATGGTAAAGGATGATGGGAGTTGTAGTCCAACAACACATGGTTCCACCGCTCCCCATCCTGAGCGTACAAATTGCAACTACCCACATTTGGGTGAAAACGTGGGTTTTGGATACTGGGGCCAATGCCTCAAATTTGTCTGCACACAGCTCAGCATAAGGGTAGAGTCAATCAGCCAAAATTTTGTTAAAAACCCTTGGGCATCACAAACATTGAAACGGTATTGAGGTACATTTTCACATAGGTGGTCTCCAGCACACTGGACCCTTTGTTGTATATCGAAGAGAGGGAGACTGTAAAGAGCCACTGCAGCCCTAGGGGAGACCCCAACCCCAGTTGCGAGGTTGGAAGCACATCCTCCCAGCTGATGTTAAAATTTAGGGAAGGGATTTGCTGCCAGCTGCATAACTGCAGCTTCCTCACAGCTGAACATCAAGTGTCGCGCAGGCTGGTAAGGAGACACAGCTCAGTGACAGACCATGCAATACAGGAAGAAGATTTCAGGGTTCATATGTGGATTGGAACCCAGTTAACCTTCGGTTTTCACACTTCTCCAACTTTGGTGATACATTTCTCTAAGAACATTCCCAAGTGCTTATAGAGACAAGTATTATTAGGTTAAAATATATACAAGAAAATGCACATTTAGTATAAAATATGTAAAAGGTAAAGGTACCCCTGCCCGTACGGGCCAGTCTTGACAGACTCTAGGGTTGTGCGCCCATCTCACTTAAGAGGCCGGGGGCCAGCGCTGTCCGAAGACACTTCCGGGTCACGTGGCCAGCGTGACAAAGCTGCATCTGGCAAGCCAGCGCAGCACACGGAAACGCCGTTTACCTTCCCGCCAGAGCGGTCCCTATTTATCTACTTGCACCCGGGGGTGCTTTCGAACTGCTAGGTTGGCAGGCGCTGGGACCAAGCAACGGAAAATATGTGCAAGGATGCAAATCTTGAATTCTAATTTTTCACGGAAAAGCAATGTGAATTATTGTGTTTAATTAAAATAACAACAATTTGCAGATTGCTCTGGAAAGAAGACAGAGCGGACTTATGAAGAAGCCCATATAAAACTGACCCAGATTGGAAATAGGCTGATTCCTCCTTTCCTAAAGCCAGGCAGCTCCTGTGTGGGAGCTTCTCAAAGGTTACGTATGCAGGGGTTGGGGGGCTCAGAAAGGAAGGTGTTCAGTTCAGGAACAAGAGGAGGTAGCCTGACTGGAAGAAGAGGCACAGGAGTGAGGCTGCATCTTTTCTGTGCCAGACATCCTGGTGGAAGCCAGATGGCTAATTATTCAAACTTGCCTTATTTGAAACCCAGTGGGGATTTGACCCTTTTTGCAAAAAGTAGCAGGTTGGGAATAAGCAAGGTCCGCATGACAGAGGCTTCATTGTATACCCTGAGATCATTCTGTGCATGCACTTTGCTTGGTGGGAAAACTGAACCATTCCTTCTCAGGGTCCAGGGGAAGCTCAGAAACACACACACACACACACACACACACACACACACTGCTGTTAACATGGTTTCTTTATCTGAGTTATTGTAAACTGGAGTAGTGGTTGCTCAGCATTCTTTTATTACCCAGATAGGAAATGAATCTGGAAAGACTATGCCAAAAACATAAACCTTTTTATTGCTTTGCACTGCCAGACTGAAATTATGGAATATCAGAGCTGACTTACACATTATGCAGAGTAAGATAATAATCGGAAGTGATAGAATTCTGGACTGTTTCACTTGAGACAGCAGGTGGGGGAAACTGTGGTAGTGGATGCTCCTGTGTATGAAAACTATCACAGGAGGGAGATAATGCTGGCCAGCCTTCTCTCTGCTATGGTACATAAAATTTGCAGTCACTGCTTGATGTCAATAGGCAGGGAGTTCCAAAGTGCTGGAGCTGCCACACTAAAATATAATGTGGCACCTGTAGCCAGTTCCACTGAAGAGGTTGAGTGGCATACGCGGGGGAAAAGTGATATTGCAGGTAAACTGGTCCCCAGTTGTTAATGTGGCAGAGATGCCACTCTGATCGGTTCAGAAACTTCAGCTAGTGCAGAATTCAATGGCCAGGTTGCTCACCGGGGCAAGACAGTTTGAGCATATGCTGCGAATCCTGGTCCGACTACAAAGGCTGCCAATTAGTTAGAATCATAGAATTATAGAGTTGGAAGAGACCACAAGGGCCATCGAGTCCAACCCCCTGCCAAGCAGGAAACACCATCAGAGCACTCCTGACATATGGTTGTCAAGCCTCTGCTTAAAGACCTCCAAAGAAGGAGACTCCACCACACTCCTTGGCAGCAAATTCCACTGTCGAACAGCTCAGGAAGTTCTTCCTAATGTTTAGGTGGAATCTTCTTTCTTGTAGTTTGGATCCATTGCTCTGTGTCCGCTTCTCTGGAGCAGCAGAAAACAACCTTTCTCCCTCCTCTATAACATCCTTTTATATATTTGAACATGGCTATCATATCACCCCTTAACCTCCTCTTCTCCAGGCTAAACATGCCCAGCTCCCTTAGCCATTCCTCATAAGGCATCATTTCCAGGCCTTTGACCATTTTGGTTGCCCTCCTCTGGACACGTTCCTGGGCATAATTTTTTATTATTATTATTATTATTATTATTATTATTATTATTATTATTATTATTATTATTATTATTATTTTATTTATTCCCCAGCCACTCTGGGCGGCTTCCAACAGAATATTAAAATACAATAATCTATTAAACATTAAAAGCTTCCCTAAACAGGGCAGCCTTCAGGTGTCTTCTAAAAGTCTGGTGGTAGTTCTTCTCTTTGACATCTGATGGGAGGGCGTTCTACAGGGCGGGTGCCACTACTGAGAAGGCCCTCTGCCTGATTCCCTGTAGCTTGGCTTCTCGCAGCGAGGGAACTGTCAGAAGGCCCTCGGCGCTGGACCTCAGTGTCCGGGTTGAATGATGGGGGTGGAGACGCTCCTTCA